TTCTTCCAATGGGAAATATCAGACATGGTGCATCCAGTTGAATAATTTATACACGCACACACGCGCATACGAAATCGACGCTTGCTTGAACTACTATGATATATGAAGTCCAACCAAGAAATCTTCCAGCGCAGTAAACGCAGCACGTACTTCAAAGCTAGTAAACTCAATAACACTATCAGCGCGAGGTGCGCTGGCTTATTAAGATCCACGAAACCGGTGGAATATCTACGATTTTATATAGTATATTAGCAGATTCTACTCTTTACTGACTATCAAGAGACTATCTCTTCGACTTGAACGCAATATTACTCTCAAACTATCGGAAGATGTTCAAGGAATGAACTGCATTGATTGACGCACTTAAAAATTTTAACATAAGCTTCATACGATGCTCCATGTTTACTATAAATAATGTGCTCTTCTATATTCCACAACTATTATCTGAAATATTTTTTCGTATTATTCATACTTTTTGAAACATTTTGGTGTTCTCAGACAAACGGGTCATACTGTATAAAATATAACAGACATGAGCATTACTGTATGAAATATTTGAAAAAATGATTATTTAAATATCTTTTCTTTTTCAAATCGTTTCTAATTCTATCGTATAAACTTCATCTTCCGTTGAGATTATTTATGTTATTTCATTTCAAATAAAACATCATTTGCACCTGTATTTATCTGATTTGGATTTAAGATGAAATAAAGTAAATTTCATTTCAATTTTATGATATAAATTCTCAAGTAAAAATTTTTATTTCAATTCTAAAAAAATTAATTAATTTTGTGAAATAAATTTTCAAATAAAAATAACACATTAATGATCTCAATTGTTATCTCAAATTGTTATTTCTTATCTTCATTTTGAAATAAAATTTGATCAACCCTGTAATGTGATGTATAAAGGAGATACAATATAATACGTATCTATAAAACATTGTCATAGAAGATCCAAACGAGACATGGTACTTCTCACATTTTTTTCAGCCCCATCGACGAAAAGCAATCGACGTCGCGGTGTATCCGCGATGCAGAGATCCGTATCTGACGTTACGAATTAACGTCCGTCTCAAGAACGTCGCATTTCCTATAAAACCTCGGTTTGAACGCGTTCGCGCTATTCTTCGTGAGCAACGGCGCGTTCCTCCGGCCTGGAAATGTGCGCCGAGAATAGACGCATTGTACGCGTGACACCGGGTCGACAATAACGAGAGATGTCGTCGTCCCGAATTTCCTATTGCGCAAATTCGCACCTGCGATGGATTTTTATATTCTCGATTCGTTGACCTCGGCCGTGCTCGCATTTATTTGTACAGTGTGGCCACTGAAGAACTGAAAGGTTTGAAAAAGTCATGACTTGTTCATCTCCAATCTTTTTTATTTTCCTTTTTTGTAGATTGTAGAAAAAGATGAAAAAATCTATTAATTATATTTCCAAATGAAATAATAAAAAATTTTAAAAACATGTGTTTGTGAAAGTTATTTTTGTTTTATGTCTTTCAGTCTTTCAGTGACTGACTCTAGATTATTGACTACCATTTCTCGTATTGCTCCTTTATTACAATGTCCTGACATAATAAAAACTTTGTTTGAAAAAGCGGAAATCAATGTTCGAAGATGTGATTATGCCTCGTGAGATAGTTGTACATTGTAAATAAAGAAAATTTGATTAAGTTAAAAAATTTATATATAAAGGATGTGTTAGATTCGTTTATAAAATGCTCGTTTTTTTCAAATCAAATTTCAACCGTGCGTGATTTCCTTAAAATATCATGTTTGATCTTTAATTGGATTTCAAAATTTAATTGTATGTACTTTTGAGCAACCCCGGTGCTGCATCCACTTTTTACAATTACATCAATTAATATATCAACATTTTTTAAAACAGTGAACATATTTGCGAATAATATAGTTGTTATTCGTTAATAATATTATTATTTTTTAATCTTCGCTCAATGAATATCGAATTATTTCGACTCGGTTATCGTGATTGTTATCAAATTTGATTATTTACCAAATATTGTATTCAGTGAATGAAAAGACTATTGGTACACCTAGTTTTTTTTTACAATATTTTTAAGAGAACAAATGACATATTAACAAAATCTGTTTCCATAAATAGTTGTGTATACTATATACATACACACTAGAAATTTCGAATACAATAAAATTGATATCTGTTTACTTACTTAGGTACTTTGAAAATTAAATTAATTCTTTAAAATTAAATTAAAATATTTGAAATTAATAGATAGAATTTTTTCTTTTAATCAAAAAATAATTTATATCTATTCTTTCTCAAACTGACTACTGTTGATACAGATAAATGTTTACCGTCGTCTAAAGAAATTTGTATCCTCAAAATTAATTATCATTTCTCAAGCCTACAGTATATAATCATGTACTTTAATCATATGCATTTTAAGAATTTTATAATTTACGTATAAATTTATCAAATTGTGAATTTATTAAAGATTCAATGGAGAGTAAATAATGGATGATTAATGACCACTAATCTTACTCAGCAAACTCTGATTTGCTGTATCGATTAATCAAATGAACAAAATCGTCATGTTTACTCAGACTGATTAATATTTACTGTGTTAATTAAAAACGTCATCGATAAGGCAAACATGTAAAAATACCGCAGTAAAAATAAATTGACACCATCAGTAACTATTTCCATTTTATTCCTATCTCAGATTTATAATGGATTCATTAAAATTTATGTAATATTTCAAAGCTAATTGTTTAGATTAATGATAAAATGAAAGAACGTATAAATAAAATTAATTAGAAAACTGAGGTTAACAATTTATGACATTTATAGAATATAAATTGAATTTTGGATAATTTATAATTTAGTTGATTCTAGTTATGAAGATATTAAATTACACTTTATATTCATAATACTTATTTATGAAAAATATATTGTGTTATATTATAGAAATATAATTATTATATCATGAAAATTTACTCAGTATTAGAAAAAATTATAATTAATATTTCATGAATACAATCGTTCTCAAAAGTTTTTATATATATTATAGAAAAATCATTTTTATCAAATAAAATGCAATTTACATTATCATGACTAAAAGTTATTTTGTTATTACTTTTTATGTTAAAAGATAAATGTGTAACGTATGTTACATGTTACTCGTTTGCTGCAACAATGAAAATCTTGAATTATTTGATATTATAGCATATGAATGATATATTTTATTTTAATGTCTAAAGAATGTCTACTTTATAAAATGTGAAAAAACTTCGGATGGCTCTATAAGTTAACAAATATGCGTACAATGTCTTATGACGAGTAGCTTTCAAATTATCATAAAATTCAAAATTATCAAATTTTAACCCTTTGAGTGCTTAAAATTATCCCAAAACTAGAAGTTTGGTTCTAATGAGGAGCACATAACAAATTCAGAATTTACCTTTAATACCTTTAATAATTTATACACCTGATATATTTAGTCAATATATCATGATATAAATATTATATCTTTTGAATCTCTAATTTTATTATTAATTATAATTAGACTGCGGATTTTTATACATTTATGGGAAATTTTTAAAGTGCAATATTACAGGAAATGAGTGTAATATAAGAAAATTTATACAATATCGAAAGTACAGTGTTTTTTATAATATTTAATACATGAAACAATTTTCTACCAAGGTTTCATTTTTTTTATATTCTCAAAGATGTGATTTTGCATAAATCAGTATAATTATAATTTAAAATAGAATACTTTATAATTTATAATATAGTATACTCTAGTATAAATTCTATATATATATTCTAATACTCTAGTATAATTTATAATTTATGAAATAGAATACTTTAGTATGGACTCAAAAAGATGAACAATGAGAATTGGGCAGTAATCAATTACTTTTAATCGTTTCATTAATCAATTAATTATTCTTAAAATAAATCAGTGATATTGATTAGCTTTTGTAACTTGCAGTCATTGATCAGTAATTTTTAACTCATTAAGTGATTAACTTATATTTTATTACGATTTTTTCAGTTATAACTTTGCTGCATAATAGTGTTTGCATTTTTACTTTGCAATCTATAATAATATGTTAAAGCTTGTAATTTTTTGATACATTTTTAGTATATAAACGAGTGCGTATCACAATGAAGAATCTCAAAATTTTGATCATTCGGCAAGTTCATCATCATCAGTTCATCTTCATCTAATTATACGGAAGATAGTCAAGAACTATATAGATGAAACTTTTAATTGACAGGAAATTTTTCAAATACTTAGAACAAGTCTTGATGAAATTATAAGGTTGTACATATTGCAAAACAATACAAATAATAAATATATATTTTCCTACAAAAAATATACAATATCTTGATAAAAGTGAACTACTGATACAATCATAATCAGAAGTGTAATCATTTTATAATATAATGATTATTAAATTAATCATAATCTTTGATTAGAATTATTTTGTTAGTGATTACATATCAGTGATTACTAATTATTTGATAATCAATAATCACGATTATAATTAACCACATTAATATAATATATAATAATAACCACATTAATCATAATTATAAATCATCATAATCACTGTGTTTTATCTAACTGTGGGATTAATAAATCCTATCTTAACCTCTTGCGCTAGAATGACGTGCCACGCACGTTGGGAATTTTTTGTCCCAAATTGCAACATTTTCTGTTTTATAGTATATAAGTATATTTAAATGTAACACAGGCAAAATAAATGATAATTTTATTATCTTTTAATAATTTCCATCCAGTGATATCATACCGACGAGTTCAAAAGGAAAAGAAAGCGACGAATCATTGTATACGGTTCGGTCTCTCGTTACGGTCCGCGAGCCAGTTGCCAGCGCAAGGGGTTAAACACGAAGAATTAAAATTTTAAATCCAATCGTGCATGTACGTGCAAATAACAAATCATTTTGACAAATGAATTTATCGAGTCACGGAAATACGTACCGGATATCGACACATAGTGTGATCGGCGCAAATGCGGCAGTAAGGATTGTCGTCGCGGCTCACCAGGGACGATGATATTGTTCTCCGTAGTATGCAATCACAGCCCGTTAAGAACAATAAGAAGCAGAACGAAATATGACCTGTCATTCCGGCTGTTTTCGCCGTGCCTTTCAACGGCCGAAAATTTGCCACGACATTTTATCTTTTGCGTTTCACTGCTGTCCGGGTAATCTCGCCGCTACCTTCACCCCGGAGCGATGTTTTCCGAATCGATTTTCCAATGAAACAGTGACAAGCCGGTCCACGACGGAGGATAATATTTTTCCTGCCGGGAATGATGTTCGTTAAAGAGCGAGCAAGCAGAACGAACCGAAAAAGGATAACAAACCTCGTACTAGTTTCTTGACGCAATGCTCATTCCTCACTGAGATTCCACGGCCCATGGTTCACAGTTTAACGTTTAATTACGAGTGCTGTATATTAAATCGAAACGATCGTCAATTTTGTTTCATACATAGATATCATACGTGTGGTAACATTTTTACAAATATTTTAAGATGAAAATTGTTGAACAATTTGTTTAATTATCAACGCTACGTGATTCATTGTTAGTAATTATGTACTTACGTTTTATACAACACGATGTGAAAAAGTTTTTGAAATTTTCTCATATGTTACGATGATAAATGTACTTGAGATTTTTTTGAATAATTGAAGTGCATACTTCTTTCTTGCCAAGTTTTTTAATTTTTGATGCTACGTTTGTAGACGTGAGTGTGTATATTCTTCCCTTAAAAAAAAATTTTCATCACTTCAATCTATTTTCTTGGGACGACCAGAATATGGTTTATTCTTAATTGAATCATTTTAAAAATAGCTTTTGTATATCATGTACTGTAACCTGTTCTGTATCATGAACTGTAACTTCTCTAATGATATCATTCAACTTCTTGTTACATTTTTTTTTTACATAGAACAGTTGGTAAATCTTTTTATCATTTTAATACTTTTAGTCAATGTATCTAGATTTAAATTTATATATATATATATATATATATATATATATATATTTAATTGTCTTTCTAACGAAACTTATATAATAAGTTAAAATTTTCTTCTTATAAACAAACGAAATTTCCATCATAAACATAAGCCTTGACAAGCTGATTTTATTAAAAATGAGAAAAGAACTTTCACACGTATGTATTTACTTCAAATATTTTATTCTTGTTTTGCAATATTAATATTTTATATAAATATTTTTAAATATTTTATTCCTACTTTTTTTTAGTTTATAGAAGTAATATTAAATCTTGTATATTTTTTAACATAAGTAAGAAAAATATTAAATCTTGTATATTTTTTAACATAAGTAAGCGATTATTTATATAATAAGACATCCATTTTAAACTAGAGATTATTATTATTAGAGATTATATGTTCACAAAACAATAAGAATTATTTATTAAAAATATTAAAATATTTGTGATTAATCTATTATAAATAATTATAAATTATTCACGCACTAAACGATATTCTCTTTGTTTTTCAACATTCTTTGTCTTCTCATAAATTATCCAGAAATACGAACTGGTACTTGTTTTAAGCGACGTAGAAATACCAGCTAGAATATATTCAGTGCGCTAAAATACCCGTGTTTCGTGTGAAATATGCAAGGTTATATATTTGAACAGTCGCATTGTCCAGAATCAACTGTCATGGTAAAAACACACGAAAATTGGTCGGTTGTCTAGCAAATTAATAAAATAGTAATGTAGTAATTTATAATTATGATTTTTTTTTCCTCCTTCATTACGAATGTTCTAATTGAGTAATTGTTGTTTAATATATCTTCTTATATTGTTAAAATTACGGTGTTTTCCATTTCAGGAGATTCAAGAGTTAAATTTCTATTTTCTTTTTTTCATTTTTAATGAAAAATAAACTTTAAATTCAATTTTTTAATTTTAATTTGAATCGTTTAAAGAATAATATCTGTATTATATAACAGATATAATAATAGATAATAGTAACAATCTAATGATTCATTTCTTCTATACTAAAATACATTGGAAAATCAAAGATTTAATTATAATTTCACATTGTTGATGCTATCAAATTTTTCGCAAAACAAATTTATTATATATTTTACACATATTTAATTGAAATTCAATTTCAATTCTGACTCGTACACGTGTAATTTAATATAATAACTTGATTTAAATCTAATTTATGTTATCAAACATTTAACATATAAAAAAACATATTTTTTTAAGTATGACTGTTTCTATAGAACAAAATGCATTGTTCAAAGTTTTCATCACTTAAACTGTTTCTTCATAGAATCAATCTGGCAAAACTAAACGGTAGATGACAGAAATCGACGAAATATTATATTTTTAAAATAATTTCTGTACATATCGTGCTTCGTGATATTCTGAGTGTGATAATTACCTAAGTATTGCAACAATCCTAATTCTGCAATATTATTATCATTGTCAGCAATGTTACTACTGTATTTTTCCATGAAAAGAAATCATCTACTTTAGTCTACCATATTGAGTTTATACATCTGGAATTGTTATTTGGATAAATTTTTGGATAAATTTAAAATTTATCGACTTTTCTAATTTTGACTATTTCGGTGCGTTTTTTTTTTTTTTAAAGTAACATGAACTGTATAACTTTTTCAACCTTTCCCAATTGATTTTTTGTTCTAATAAAATTTTATTAAATGGTTAAATGGCTAAAATTTGGAAAAGCTAGAAATTTGTCATATATATATATATATATATATATATATATATATATATATATTAATTATTTTAATATTATTCGTTTAATATAGTTATATTTATCTCTCGCAAATTTCAAATTGTAGAGATAGGTACCAAGAGATTAAGAATCTATTTATCAAGAATATTAAATATATATACATACATAACTTTTATTCAACATAGATTATTTACTTTTATCTATTTTATCTATTTTTTTTTTTTTTTTGTCTCATTCGTAATATTATCTCAGCAAATATTAATATATATATATGAATGAAACAAAAAATAGATAAAAATAAATAAACTATTTCGAATAAAAGTTTCATTACTTTAAAACACTGTCCTTCAAATAAATACTATTTTAAAAACTTATACGCACAATTTAAAACAAAATGGACTACTTGCTATTTGTTTGAAGTAATATTTCACTCAACTCTGTGTTCCGGCCACCTTTGAAAATCGGGCACGAACTTCCACAATCATCCAATATGTTTAAATAGTCCAGTAGCAGTAGAAGCTGCGTATTTACGAGCGTTTATACGGTCAATTATCCTCCGGTTGATTTTTATTTCGACCATGCAGCGAAAGTTCTGGTAGGTACACAGTGTTCATATCGTTCCCCAGACGGAAGCGCTATAACGCGTAAACGGCGCCGACGCAACTCACCAAGTTGGACGATTCTCGGATGTTCAGCACGTGTTTTCATTTCGTTATCCCGCCGACTTCTTCCCATATCATTACTGTTTCAATACGCGCGGGAGGCAGAAAGTTTTCCGAGCCAGCGAGCCTTCGTATATCGCTGCCCTCTTTCTTCTCTCTTGTTCGTGGTCTTGTCGGAATGACAATGGTCCAAGCACAAAGAACATTTTCGATGCGAAACGACCGAAATTTCAAATTTCGCCCAATATTTTTTAATATGACAAAAATCGGGAAGAAGGAGGCTAAAGTAAAGGCAATGTGTTCGGAAGTTCATCGAATTTTATTTGTTTTATTTGTTTTGTAAAATCTTTCAGGCGTACTCTTCCTGCGAGAATTAAAATCGACTCAATTCCACAGTTTAGGTTCTACAGTTTGACTTTTGAGAAATTCAAATCCGAATTCAATCATTTTATTTCAACAAGTTCACGTTTTTGGAATAGTTCGATGGTGACAGTTAGCCAGTATGCTCTTTAATGGGAATTGAGGTTGTATTAAAAAAAATTACGATAACAATTGATAAAGATTATCATTAATCATTGTAAGAAAAGGTATGAATTTCTGAAATTGATAGAAAGGAGAATGCGCTATTAATAATTTCAACATTCTGTCAATGATTATAACATTTATTTCCTGGTAACACATTAAAACTGTAACAAAAATACATTTATTATTTATTTATTAAATTGCTCTGGTTACACAATAAATAATTTAAGTAAAGATAATTGATAACTATTGTCATATATAGTGTTCTATCCGAGGGTAAATATTTCGAAGAATGTAAAAACGTTTTGAACACAAGTTATGAAGTATCGAGAGAGAGAATTATTTCTAAATTGCAATTTATATTTCTTCTATTTATATATTATTATAGCCGACATTGAGATGATTTTCAATATATGTGTACATATATTTTTTGCGTAAGTTGTTCTCGAGATATAATACAGTTTAGTTTACTACATTTGAAAATAATGTCCACAGTGAAATTTCCAATAATGAGTTATACAACAATAATACAATAAATGTAAAAATTCGAATTAAAAAAGTATTGTTAAGTTAAGAATAGAGTTAAAAAATATTGAAATACTTGTAATTCCAGTGCTAAATCTGCATTTAATGACGAAATGCTATTAAAAAAAATTACAAAGTATTTTTTTGTAAGTATTAAAATGTTATCAAATGACATTAGAAAAGGACGCTTGTCTTATCATTAAAAATATTTTATATTCTGTTCAAATACATGGTAGGAGCTGTAAAATGAACCCTCATACACATGTTAATATCTTTTTGATTCTCGAACTACTATATTACTCGTATTATTATCGTACAACTTACTATTGAAAATTCCTAGTATGCACATTATTTTTGTATGTAAATTATCTACAAAAACAGATTTTGTTCTACGACAACGTTAGAAGAAAACTTGTTTTCAACCAAACTTCTCTTAATCTACTGTAAACTCTTGATATGCTACCAGCATTAATGTTACTGAAGCAAACTAGGAAGAACAATTAGAATGCGATATGTGCATCTTTTCTTTACTGTTTGTAATTTTGTAGTTTATTTCAGTCATACAAATTATGAAAACTAATTGCAAGCAAATAGAGGTGTCTATGATTGTGGTTTTTACGCACAAAAGAGTAACCAGACAGAGGAGTCTATTATAGTAAACGATGATATATTAACATGCTTATCAATACTGCAATACATACACATCGACTCTTTAATAGATATAAAAAGCCTTGTAATTTACAAAGTTCA